AGTGGGCTGTGGGAAGGACAAGTGGGCACCGAGGTGACTTGGGCTTGAGGCTTTGTATTGTAAGCCATTCCACAGAGTGCCATGGCTACTCCGTTGTATACACTGGTCCCTTTTTCTTGTGAACTCAGCTGTCATTTGTATAGAAGAAAGCACCCTGTTTTGTCCTGTCACTTTGGAAACATTCTGTCAAGACCCTCACTCTCTCCTCTGAGGGAGGCCCCGATGCTCTCTCAAGACAACTCACAGATCTTCCTGCATAATTTTTGGTAATTTGGTTCACGTGTTCTTAACGATGTGTCTGTGTGTGCACATCTGTGCATGGGCACACACATGTGAGCACCAGAATGGGGCCTCACCTCCTGCTGAGGCCAGGAGAAGGATCCCCTGGAATGTGGAATTACAGCCAGTTGTGAGCTCCCTGACATGAGTGCTGGGAATTTATCCTGGCTCTTCTGCTGGGAGCTCATGCTTGTACCCTTTAAGCATCTCTCTAGCCTCTCTTTGTGGCTTTGAAATAAGAAATGACAGTAGTAGAGTCATCAAAATGTGAGATTCGGGGGATCTTGTCTAATGACACAGATGGGTGAGTGCCACCACAGACTGTGTTTGAAATTTACTGGTGCTTGTTTTGGATTCTGTATCGCCAGGGCACAGTTTGCTGCAGCCAGGGAGGCCTTGGTAAGAAAACTTCGCTCTGAGGTTTGGGGGAAAGAAAATTCTTGGAAGATTTTAAGGAGGATTCTTCGGGTGGCCCAGAGAGATGGCTCACTGGGTAAAGATGCTGGCCACTAAGCCTGAGGAACTAAGTTTGATCCCAAGGCAAAGCATGATGGGGTGAGAGAGCTGACTCTTGTGAGTTCCCTTCTACATATGCAAAACTGAATAAATGTAATAAAATTTTTTAAGTAAAATTATTTGGGCAGAAAAATTAAAAGTATTAGGAACACTCCCCTTTGAGGAGGAGCTAGTAGCTCTGCACACCGCAAGAACACCCTTGGATTCTGCTCCCCACCCCCACCCCACCATGGTCAAGGAACTACTCAAGGGGAAAAGCCAAGAGGATGAGGGACAGCTGGGAGGAAGGAATGTGCCTGCTTTGTGTTGATCTTTGACCCTCTGTTCCTGGAGCTGGGATTCAACACAGCCCGTTTTAGTATCCGAAACATCACAGTTGAAGCAAATTTCCCTCTAATATTGTTGAAAGGGCTTATGGAACATTTACAGATCTTAGAAGTCTTACTGAAAATTAAATACCAATAAAAGTACAAAACCAACCAAACAAACAAAAAACAAAAAACAACCCCAAAACATTCCCGAAAGCCCTTGCGCAGGAAAGTCAGGGCCCCTTATGTTCCCAGCTCACGTCAGCAGTGGAAACTGGGAATCACTGCCCAGCTTGCTCTTTCAGAGCACAGTCATGCATCTCTGTGGATGGACCAGAGATTTCCTAACGTGTTTATTTGTTCTTCCACAAAATGGAAAACTCAGGGATAAGACAGATGAGGCAGCTCTCCTCACTGTACCCCATAAAAGTTTAGTAAACAAAAATACCAAGCCCAGCATGCAGCAGGATGTTTTTTTAAAAAATGCATTGCAAGACAAAGGAAGAAGGCAGAAAGACAGAGGGTAATTGAAAACCAGACATGGACTTTGAGAACAACAACACCATGGTCCTGCCAGGGATTAAAGGACCATTCATTCCCACCCATAGGGATAAACGCTGGCCATCTTACACCAGCCAGGGGCATTTGGGAGTCCGAGTATAGAGAAGTGTCTCCCATGAGCAGCCAGTGCACACTGGCAAAGGGATAATACGGAGTAGAGCCAGCAAAGAACGTTACTGTGGACCTACTTAAGTTGCTCTTCTGAACCCATGTGACTCGATTGACTTAGGAAATATATTGGGGTGAAACAAGACAGTCCAAGGGAGGAAGCCAGCTCCATTCTCTGCACTCCATGATGACATAGGGGGAAGATACACACACACACACACACACACACACACACACACACACACAGAGGTCAGCCCTTCTGGAGAGATCTATTAGAGGCCTGTGAAAGCCCTTAACCTAGACTCACAGGATACAGTGACTTTGTCAGGCAACTTTTAGGAAAATCTCACCCATGGGTGCATACGAACCTGATCGGTTGCATCCCTGAGATGGGCAGGGGCACGACTGAAGCAGTAGATCCAAGGGGATGCCAGGCCATGGGACAGATAAGGCAGAAATCCAATTACAGAGATAATTAGCACCTCTGAGTTGCAAGCACCAAGTTTACAAGCGGACCTCACTGGAGGAGAGCTCAGATTGCCCAGAGCACTGGACATGGCCTTCTGAGAGAAGGAGAGTGCCCTAGGCCTGGGCTCTTGCTCATGAGGTCTGAGCAGTTCCAAAGTGGCTGCCACCTATTGGAAAGATTACATTGCAAGTGGACAGAGCTTTACAAAGTGTCTGAACTCCCCAAGGAGCTGGATAATTGACTTTCCTTCGGCTCAGTCCCGCTTTAAAAAAATTGTTTATTTTGCAGCTGGAAATTCCATTTGTCCTAGGTCTTAAGGTGAAATTAAAATTCTGTTTAGGGACCGAGTATGCAGACGTGGGATTTCAACCTTCATTATGAAGGATTCTGTTGTTTGCCCGATTTTTCTGTTGCCCTGGGCTCTGCTGTTTTGAGAGATGCTGTGAGGCTATTTGGGAGGGGACCTGAAGCAGGATGGAGCAGCGTGCTGGGATTCATGGCCTTCTGAGTAGCAGCCAAAGAGCTCTTCTCTGTAGTCCTGTGGAATCTTCCACCACTTTCACACGGGACCCTACCTAGAAGGTTGGCAAATGTCTGAGGCAGACAAGGAAACAAACGATGCTGTTGATTTTTTTTCCTGAAGACAAGCCATTTCACTGATTAAAAACATAATCCCACCCAGGTATTCTTGTTATTAGTTCCAATCCCCAGGAGGCAGGTTCAGCCAAGAGCTCAGCATTCTGGTGACATTCCTGACAGATGTTCATTGTTGGCTAAATTATTCTGAGTATGTCATGGATTACATCTAAGTCTAAGTCAAGTGTGCAGCATCAGGGACAACTGGACAGGTGTGGAAGATGGCTCAGTAAAGCACTTGCCCTAGAGGCATAAAGATGTAAGTTCAAATCTCCAGAACAACAGTGTGAGCATGGGGTCCCAACAGCAAGATGGGAAGCAGAGACAGGCAGATTCTTGAAAGCTAGTGGGTAAGGTAGCCTGGCCAATGTGGTAAAGTTGCAGACCAAGGAGAGGCCCTGTCTCAAACAAAAGGTGAGAGGGACCCAAGGACCAACAACCTAGATTACCTTCTACACCCATACATGCATAGCCACACGCACACACATGCCACACACACACACACACACACACACACACACACATGCACGTATGCATACATGTGTACTCACACACACAAACACATGCATGCATACACACACACACGTACATGCACATGCAGCTGCCTCTCTTCCTGAGAGGTATCATAGTAGAAAATCCTTCAGAAGTGGGACCCTGTGCCTAATCCTCATATTCATGCTGCTGTGTCTTGACAAAAACAAAAAACAAACAAACAAAAAACCAAAAAAACCTTTCTTAGAGTGACCTTAAAAGATGTGAACTCTGCTGGGCAGTGGTGGCGGGTGCATGCCTTTAATCCTGGCACTTGAGAGGTAGAGGCAGGCGCATTTTTGAGTTCGAGGCCAGCCTGGTCTACATTTATCACAGCTATGCACCATCAGTTTCAGTGGCATCTTACTGACAACTCTCTACCATCTAAAGGCCCATGAGACTGGTACTCTGTGTCTGAAATACAAAGACAGCTAATCCAAGCAGAGTGCACTCTGACCTTCAAGGGTCATGAGGCATGTGGCACGAAAGACAGGTTGTCTCGGGATACCGGTGCTTTGAGCATCTATTCCAGTGGTTCTTGACCTGTAGGTTGCAGATACAACAGTACAACTTACAACAGTAGCAAAATTATAGTTATGAAGTAGCAACAAAGTAATTCTATGGTGTCGGTTGCTACAACATGAGGAACTGTATTAAAGGACTGCAGCATTTGGAAGGCTGAGAACTACCGTACTAGGCCTTAGAGAGATTTTCCAATTGGTCACAGAGTGAAGCCTTTCTGGTCACCACCGATGCCTTGTAAGAGCCATGAATCAAGATGCACTGTTAAGATGATCCCTGTTTGGGTGACTCCTTGTTGCTAGGGCTGCAGACAATCTACCCTTTCCTAAGTTTGTAAGAGTTGCTTTTATGGCTCAACCAAAGAAAAATCAGTAAGTATGGCCTCAACTGGTAGATGCTTGTGGTGGAGATGGTAACTGCCCACAGCTGTTTTCTAGAAACAACTGGAAGCAAAGATGATTTGTGTAAACACTGTTCTCAAGTTCTGAAACTGGGACCTGTGACATTCTCGGTGGGTGCCCTGCTACTGAGCTGGATGACCCAATTTCTATCCCCAGTACCCACGTGGTGGGAGGGAAGCACTAGTTCCTGCAAGCTGTCCTCTGACGTGCGCATGAATGCATGGGATACACATGTACACACACATACACACACACACACACACTTGCTCTCTCTCA